ATTCAAAAGCAAAGTCTCAAACCCCACTTTTGCAAAGAAAGGAGAAGTTAAACATCTCCATAGCTATAACCCCCTTTCGGGAGTTACATTAGTTGTGAGACACCCTGCAGATTTCAATCACTCTAAATCCCAAATCCTGCATTCTGTTCTAACCTAACCTGACTTAACACGTTTTATAACATAATTAAAAAATAAATGTTAGAAAATAAATACCATGAATTGTAAAACATGCTAGGGTGAGTCAGGTGAGTTTAGTTTAATATATTTTGCTAATAACTTCGTAATAAACAACGAACCTCGATTAAGTTAGAAGGAAAAGTTACTCAGGACGACGACTTCGACAACATATGTCAAGATCAAGGACATTGGGGCCCTCTCCCCTTTTGTCAATATTTATTTAAACTTGTAGTCAGAACCACTGATAGATTTTACGAAATCTGACGAAAAAGTCAACATTAATTTTTACGTTATTAAAGTGTACGGTAGATCAAAGACCAGTATCAATGAATACACTTATATTGCTACGAGAAATATGCATTTCAAATTTTGAAATAATATTATTTTGATAATTCATTTTAAAAGTTTTCAAATTTTTCAATACGAAAACTTGAACATTTAGAAATTCAATTATGCGAAAATTGAGAAATTAAAACTTGGAAATTTAGAAATTTGGAAAAATCGCGCTTATTTAATACAACTTTTCTAAGTTGCATTACCTGAATACAACTTCTTATCTTAATACAACTTATGAATTAATTTCTGTTTTTGATGATATGAACATATTAATACTTTGTAACGTCCCCGGGAACATCAAATCAACCCTGTCGATAAATAAAGGAACATTCTAATCCGTAAATCTTTTTTTTATTCTATTACCGACCACAAATTACCGACTGCACAGATGTTCGGTGTTTCCTTTATGAACATCATGGAGACGCGCGGTAATGGTATGGGGTAGATCACGCGTGCAACATTGTTAGAGTAGATCACCGATCGATGGCGCGCGCGTTAATTAGAAAGAGACGACAGATATACTTCGAAACCAAGTTATTATAAATTATCCTTTAAAATATTTATATTATATACATTATTAATTATTAACCCATTATAAATTGCATTATATTTTTAGTTATTATTTTATGTATTGTTTGTAATTAATTATTTCCTCTAATGAAACACATAATTTGCGTATCTAAAAATCATTAAAACTCTGATTTAACAGAAAAACTTGTAAAAAACTAATTAATAATAAATCAAAGCATATTTTTATTAATCGAACTAATATATATTTGCTACTAAATAAAGCGTAATAAAATAATAATACTTTTTGAGCGGAAAAACCCATGATTCTCTGGGTATAAAAGGGCGTGCAGCAGAGGCTGCGAGGGCAGAACAATCTTTGAAGTAGTACATGCCAGATCTCTTAGGAAGCAACGAACTGGAGTAGTTTTAACTGGTAAGGGCCTACAAGATTCTTAGGTCGAGTCATTTTTATTTGCAACTCTGTTGATCACACGTCGGTCACTTGATTCTTGCATCGTTGGGTAGTTCTAGTAGCCAGCTAACGCAGGCTTCCCAATTAAGCGATCAGGTTTTGGGTGCCGATTTGTGCTCCGACAAAAAGGGCCATGAAACTAATTAGTTTAGAGTCAAACAAGGAGTAACTGTTCCACGTCCAATACAAATTTTAAATTTTTTGTAATTAACCAAATATTGTTCTGTCAGTTTTGTTAAGATCTAGATCCATTATAAAATTGCGTTATTTTCTTGCGTTGCGTACGTTATTATAAAACCGCGTAACTGAAATAGTTAACTACCGTCTTGCGATTTGCGATATACTCCATCTTGCTTATAAAATTCAATCATACATACATTTTTATATTTGCTAAAAAAATTGTTATTTATAACTCTCTTTCTCATCTTTACTTGAATAAACCTAATTAATGAAAGGTATTAACCTGTAGATTTCACTCTTTAACCACACGCCACCGCGGTCCCACATTCTTTTAGAATTAGTTATAGTAAAACGAGTCGCTTAATAGGCAAAAGCCGCTCTTTGCTTCGTAGGCACTGTAAATACCTGAGTCTAGTACGAGGGACGTTACAACTTGGTCATGATCATAGAACTGCAGAGTGAGTGAATGTAATGTACAGTCCCTGGTCATCGAATTAGAACCACGTATGAAAATTTCACTTTTATGGCTACAACATTATGTCATATATGGAAAATTGTCTTACAAGGAAAGGCACGCAAGTGTCCCCCTCCGATTTTGATGAAACTTCGTAGGTTTATTAAGCAGGCAAAAATAAGGGACACGTATTTTTTTTTATCGGCTGAGACGTGGGTTTAAGGGGTGAAACGAGCCCTTAAAATTTCGACCCCTTTTGGCTATTTCGAAAACCATACGAGATACATTAAAACTTCTAATAGAAAAGTTGTATGGTTTCTTGCGTATAATAACAGGATGTTAACGAATTTTGCAAAATACAATTTGTTTATAACAAAAAAATTTTTCATAACTTTATTTTACAATTTATTCAAATTTGTATAATGACAAAAAGTGTAGAGAATTTTATTACAAAACCATTGGTATATATATATACGATATTGCCTCCTACAATTCCTCAGATTTTTATCATAAAGGTTCGCGCGCGCACCCGCTGACGCTCCACACTATATTAAATCGGATGAAGTCGGACGATATTACACTGTCAGTCAACATTATTTATAAGTATAAATGAGAAACAATTACATTAGCGTTGTAATTAACATTTATCGTCAAAGTAGAGAGGTATTCTATATGTTAATTTTATTAGATAATGAGTAGTTTGAATAAGTTAGGGAACATAATCGTGACAATAATGGTATTCTTCGAAAAAATGTTTCAAACACAACGGTTTCCGACATTAAGTATATGAAATAATTGCTGCGTCACTACATATGTGGCATAGTGGTTCATTATGTGATGCATAGCAAAGTATGGGATTTTGAAAATGAGATGGTCTTGACGATATGTATCTACTTTATACCATGGAGTATTTGAACCTCGATTACAGCAGACCATATTCAAGGGGATGAATATTTTTGTTATGGCATCGACATCCGGAAAACTTACAAAAGAAAATTTTAAAACCTGGTTAATAGAAGTTTATTCTCCAAATACAAACAACAAAACAACTCTATTATTAGATTCTTGGAGCGCGCATTGTTGTCGTAGGATCGACGAAGCTATTCCGATAAGTAAAGAAATAATGTTATTTATGATTCTAACTGGAACTACAAAATATTTACAACCATTATACGTGGACGGATTTCGCATATGTGGAACTACAAAATATTTACAACCATTAGACGTGTACGGATTTCGCGTATAGAAAAATTTTGTTCGTCGTTTTTCGCACATAGTTGTTATATTGCAATATAACATTAATCTCCACACACGAGATAGCATTCTAAAACTACAATAACTTGTTCATAATCAGTTTTTTTCACCGTGATTTGAAAATTTCATTTTATGATATAAAAGTGGATACATATCGTCAAGACCCCCGCATTTCCCAAATACAGTAGAATTTTGGTATGCATCACATAATGAACTACTATGCTATATACATATGCGGTGACGTAGCAATTATTACATACATATACTTAATGTCGGAAACCGTTGTGTTTGAAACATTTTTTCGAAGAATACCATTATTGCCACGATTATGTTCCCTAACTTATTCAAACTATTCGTTACCTATAAATTAACATATACATAGAATACCTATGTACTTTAACAATAAATGTTTTGTAATACAAATTTAATAAAATTAGCAGTTATGTATAACGCAAATGTAATTGTTTCCCATTTATGCTTATAAATAATGTTGACTGAT